CCTTGCGCTTGCAGGGCAGGCCACCAAACCGCTGAGCTAGATCCCCGGCCCCTCAGATTTCTTTTTTAAGGACTGGCCACTCAAATGCTGCTGGCGTGGACATCAAGGCTAAAGTGGGCCAGCACAGCCTGCCCAGAGTGGGCACACCGAGCACCCTGACCAGGTTATTGTCTCCCCAAAGGCCGCCCCAGCATCTCTGAAGGGGACTACGGCTGCCTCTGCCCAGGCCAACTCCACGCCCACCAGCGTGGCCTCTGTGGTCTCCTCTGTTGAGTCTCCAGCCAGCCGGCAGGCAGCCGCCAAGCTCGCCCTGCGCAAGCAGCTAGAGAAGACACTGCTGGAGATTCCCCCACCCAAGCCCCCCGCCCCAGAGATGAACTTCCTGCCCAGCGCTGCCAACAATGAGTTCATCTACCTGGTTGGCCTGGAGGAGGTGGTGCAGAACCTGCTGGAGACGCAAGGTGCGTATCGGCCGGGCTCCGTCTGCGCCCAGCCCGGCATGTGGTAATGGAGTCCCGTTGTGTTTTTGGAGCCGGCAGGCAGCTTCTGAGGGACACCGTTCCACTCTCAGCTCTGCAGGGACTGGGGTGGGGGTGGGGGCCAGGGTGGACCTGGGAGCTGGCAGGGAAAGAGCAGTGAACACTCCTGCTGGGGTCTAGCTTACTTACCTGTCTTCTGGGGAACAGTAGAAGGGACAGCTACAGGGTCACCGTCAAAATCAACACCGGAGATGGAGGAGGTGGGTGGCCGAGATGGCCTGTGGGTGGGGGACCTGCTCCCGGAGTGCCTGAGCCTGAGTTCGGGGTGAGACTGTTGGGTTGTAACCCCAGCAAGCTCTCCCTAAGGGATCACATCTGGGGCTTGGAGCAGAGGAGGAGGCAGAACTGCCAAGGCCTGGTGGACTTTCAACCTTTGTCCTCGGTCCCTCAGCTCCGGCAGGCCTGAGCACCCCTTCCAGCCAAGCAGCACCTCCCACCCACTGTCACCCAAGGGCATGGAGACAAGCGGAGCAGTGGTCCCCGAGCCCCCAGCCTGAGGGTCATGCGTGGTGCCACAGGGCTGTCCCAGGGTAGCTCAGGCTCTGGCATGCCCAGCCTGTCTGGAGCCCTTTGCTGCCAGGCCATGTTGGCAGGGGCTGCAGTGGGGGGGCTAGATTCTGGGGCCAATGCTACACCGATCCTGCCAGGGTGTGGGGGGCTGGGTAGTTTTCCTGCTCTCCAGACCAGAGCCACTGCTGCCTGTGTCACCAGGATTCAGTCTCCATTTCTGTTGGCAAAAACAACCTGAAGGTTCCACAGGGAGATGGGCAGGGAGACGGGCTGTTGTCGCACAGGTGATTTGGACAGCTGACATCTCATCTGCTCTGTGGGACAAGGGGTCTTCCCCTAGCCATGACCTACAGGGCTGCAGGAGGCCAGGCTGGGCAGGAGAGGAAGGCAGGAGTCCTGCATCCGCCCAGCGGTGCCCTGTAATGACCAAGAGGTGGCTGAAACCCTGGACGCACAACCCCAGGAAGGTGTGAGCAGAACGCTGAGGAGAGGACCACTGCCCCGCCCACCCCAGCAGGGCTCCCCAGGCCCTGCAGGCTACCTGCCTAGTGCTGCTCTGCCTGTCTTCCTAACCGGGGCACCAGAGTGTCTGCCACCTGTACTGTCTTCAGGGCTGGGCAGAGCACCATTGTGGCCCCGTGCTGGGGCTTGCCCAGGTCAGCGGTGTGCAGCCGTTGGCCCTACGGGCCACTCCTTGTCACTGTCCTTGCTGGCATCTGCTCTCTGGGCTGCCTATCGCTGAGGTGTGAGGCCTGGGTGTTGAGGTCTCCTGTCTGGTGGGTGGGATGGGACGGGGAGCTAGCGGCACCGGAGTCTGGAGAATTGCTACAGAGCTGCTTGGTGGCAACTTCCAGACCTGTGGGCCTTGGCTGGCGTCTGCTCGGTGGGTATGTGGTGAACAGACCACATCTGCTGTGGCTTTGGGGCCCAGTAGCTGCCAGGCATGCTGGGCCCAGGCTGTGCTCGTGTTCTGGTCTGCATCTCGCCACAGCCTCCAGCCCTGGTGCAGCGGCTTGTCCCTTGGCTGCAGCTGGGCTTGACATGGCGCCATGTCCTTGCAGCGGGCAGGATGTCAGCTGCCGCCGCCGCCGCCGCCACACTGGCCCGAGAGCCCTACATGTGTGCTCAGTGCAAGACAGACTTCACCTGCCGCTGGCGCGAGGAAAAGGGCGGTGCCATCATGTGTGAGAACTGCATGACATCCAACCAGAAGAAGGCGCTCAAGGTGGAGCACACAAGCCGCCTGAAGGCCGCCTTTGTGAAGGCGCTGCAGCAGGAACAGGAGATTGAGCAGCGCCTGCTGCAGCAGGGCCCAGCACCTGCCGCGGCCAAGGCCGAGCCCACCGCCCCGCACCCCGCGCTCAAGCAGGTGAGCGCCTGCCCTGTGCTGTGCACAGGTCCCCGGAAAGCCACAGGCCTGGTGTCTTGTCCCTGCTCAGCCGTCTGATCACTGACCACGCGAGTAAATTGCACTTAATGGTGGTGTCTGCGACGAAAACACTAATTTGCAGTTCCTTGAGATTGCATAGCCTTCGCTCACAGCTCAGCATAGCGCCTGGCTGAGAATTGCTTCTTGTCTGGAAAGACTTCCGGAAGCCACATTGATAGCAAGGGGTGTTCGGCAGAAAGTGCTTTGGCTAAATTAAGGAGAGAAGCAAATTTGAAATCAAGTCTTTTTGTTGGTTCTTTTTTATTTTTGTAGTTGTTTTTTGATGCTTCTTCTTGCCCTCTATAGACCAGAAGAAAACTGCTGTGAGTTTTGGCAATTTTTGTTTCTTCAGAAGTCACTAAACACATTTTCACACTTAAAGCCACAGGCGAGCATACTGCTGTCCGGGGCTGTGCCTGGGCTTGTCCTGCAGGGTCACCTGGGCTTGCCAAGGTCATCAGGCTGGCAGCCACGGAGACGACTCACCCATCTCACCCATCTGTGCAGGTCATAAAGCCCCGGCGGAAGCTGGCGTTCCGCTCAGGAGAAGCGCGTGACTGGAGTAACGGGGCTGTGCTACAGGTCAGAACCGTGACGCCGGGAGCCTCGCGCCTAGCGCAGGCGTGACCATGAGTCGCCTGCGTCTGTCTGTCTGTCTCTGTTTTCTCTCCCTCCACCCCCGGTATAACTCACCTGGTCCCCTGATTTTGGACTCTAGGGACCCCGTCCGTGTGGGTGGGAAGAGGTCGGCCAGAGCAAGGAGAGGCTGTGCTGGGCAGGTGTCTTGCCACTACCCCTTCCTCCCGTGAAGGTCGCCATCTCTCCCCTGCAGGCCTCAAGCCAGCTGTCCCGGGGTTCAGCCGCAACACCCCGAGGTGTCCTGCACACCTTCAGCCAGTCGCCCAAACTGCAGAATGCAGCCTCGGCCACGGCGCTGGTGAGCAGGACCGGCAGACATTCCGAGCGAGCCGGGGGCGCCAAGGGCAGCACCGCCACCAACTGGAAGAAGACGCCCTTGAGCACAGGTGCGCCCTCCTCACTGAGAACAGTGACTCTGGGTCCTCTCCACCCAGGCTGTCCCCAGTAATGCCAGTGAGGAGTGGGGTGGGGCACAGCCCGGGCGGTGGCAGAGGCTCCCTCCCTCCTGCCGAGGGGCAGGAGACTGAGCACATCCTTCCCCAGCCACTGACCTATGTCCTCGCTTCCAGGCTAACGTAGGGGTGAGTTAAATATAGCTTGCGTGGGTCCCCAGAAACAGGGACACAGGAAGTAACAGCTTGGGCCTGGGAGGGGCTGTGGGGCTGAGATGTGGCACTGGAAAGTCCCAGTCGGGGCTGGGAGCAGCCACTGTGTATGTGTGGCATTTGGGGCTTGCTGCGCACAGAGTCCTGAGCTCGGGATGTGCCCAGGACCAGCCCTACCAAGGGGGTGAGGGTGGTTATGTGATGCAGAGGACTTGTACCCACCAGCTGCTTGATTAAAAGGCGTAGGAGAGTTGGTGTGGTGGCTTGTGCTGCTTGGGAAGCTGAGGCAGGCAGGAGGATTGCTTAAGCCCAAGAGTTCAACACCAGCAGGGGCAACATTGTTAAGGTCCTGTATTCTAAAAAGGTTTGGGAAAGTGAAAAGTGAGGACGTGCTGAAGGTGGCATCTGAAAGGAAACTTGTGGACGCTAGTTGATGTGTGCAGCTGTGGTGGATGTGGATAAAAGTGGGGATCCCAGTTGCAGAGAGCAGGCTTGCTCTGCACCGCAGGGGGCTCCTCAAGGCCACAGAGCCTCCACAGGGGGGTCCAGCATCATGGGGACCCAGGTACTGAAAAAGAACATTCCCAGGAGGGCTACCGGCTTGTTTTCCAGTAACGAGGGTGATACCCGCGGGTACAGTGGTGCATGCCTGGAATCCCAGCACTCTGGGAGGCTGAGGCAGGAGGATCACAAGTTTCTGCCCACATGAGCACGTTATCGAGACCCTGTCTCAAAAGATAAAAAGGGGCTGGGGATATAGCATGGTGAAGAGCCTGAGTTCCCATCCCCAAGTACTGCAAATGAAAGAGAATCCAACTTTGTGGGTGAGGTGGTTTTCACTGGGTGCTGGCATCCGCCCCGCTTGTCATGTAGGTGTGCCTGTCCCTTGCTTGCAGTTGGCTGCACTGTGGTGGCAGCACCTTCTTCACAGAGCGCCTGGTGCTGTGGGCCAGGCGGGGAACTGAAGGTGTCCCCCGGGCTCTCTGCAGCCTGGGGCCAGAGACTGTGCTCCAAGGGCCCTGACCCAGCCGCCACGCCTGTCGCTGTTGTGTCGCAGGTGGGACCCTTGCGTTTGTCAGCCCCAGCCTGGCTGTGCACAAGACGTCCTCGGCCGTGGACCGCCAGCGAGAATACCTCCTCGACATGATCCCGCCACGCTCCATCCCCCAGTCGGCCGCATGGAAATAGTGCAAGCCCGGCCCAGTGGAGGACAGGTGCCCTCCCCACCCAGCACGGCCTGACACCACACCGCTGCAGAAGATGCAGAGACCACACGATGGCAGCAGACCCCTGCCCGGCTGCTGTCTGGTCGCAAGGGGCCGCTCTCCGTCGACAAGGGTCAGAGCCGAGGGACCTTTCCCTGGGCTTCCTTCCTTCCTCTCTTTGCCTTTAGTTTGCCCAACACCAGCAGAAACGTGGACCTCAGGGCCGGCTCTGGTCCCAGCCCTCCTGGCCGGCGCCGGCTCACCCTGGACATTGACCGTCCCAGCACAGCTGGCACCGGGGCCTCAGAAGTTGAGCGGGGCGTCTTGATTCTTTATGCTTCTCCCTGTCCTAGGCTCCGATCTTTGCTTCCTTCATGCCAATCTATAGGTTGAAAGTTTGGGGTTTTGTTGGATCACCTCATGATGATGGAGTTTTGAGTGGACGGCGCAGGCCCCATCACCTGGAGAAGGCGCCGGCCAGCGTGCGCGGCTCCGGCAGTGGACAGCCAGGCCCAGGTGGCTCAGGACATGGGGACGCCAGTCGCGCTGCCGCCGGAAGACTCATTGCTGCTCTTTTGGGGCCCCTGGAGCCCCCACCCTCGGCAGAAGAACAAACTGTAGCCAGACCCTGCCCAGAAGCCAGGGTTCGGGAGCCCAGCCGCCACCTCGGCAGGAGGAGGAAGCAGAGAAGGTCGTCTGCGGCGGCGGTGTGGAGCCCGCAGGAAGCGCGGGAGGCTGGGCAGGGCTGTGTGGTGGTGGTTTATTTTATTAAATTTTTCCTTTCTACTCGTTTTGATGGACACGATCTCAGCTGCCCCGGCCGGGGCGCCGTGCGGGCACAGGCGCGGGGCAGGCTGCGCCCAGACTTGAGGAGCTCACCACACTCGAGTGTAGCTAGAACCCGCCCCTCAATCTGGGCTGCTATCAGGGTTTGCTTTCCGACTTCTTTTTCCTCCCCTTTAGAGTCTACAGAAACGTTTTTTTTAAAGGATCAGGTCTGCTTTTAGTTTTGTTTTTTCCCTTCCCACTCTTTAAAAATGGATTCCGTGAGGAAAGGCAGAGCTGTTGTGTGTCTGCCGCACCCACACAAAAGTGGGGACGCCGCTCCCGGTTCCGCTCCAGCCCCGTTTCCCTACTGATGCAATTAGGGACTTTAATTTAAAACCCTCATTCTGTAGGACGTTCTCCAGACAACTGCGACAGCCAGCGTTCTAATAAAGGCTCATTTAACCCAAGTTCACGGTGTATGAATGTCATCAGTCTTGGGGATCAGTCGGACACAGTAGAGGACCTCACTTTTGGAAACCGTCCTAACTTTTATGTTGTGCAGACCCCAGAGTTTCTCACTGAATTGCCTTGAGTGCGTGCGTGACTTCACTGGGCTGCAGAGGGGAGAGCGTGGGAGGGAGGCTGTCACCCCAAGGGCTAGGGACTCTGGGGCAGGTGGGACCTTGTTTGGAGGGGTAGGGTGTGTGTTTACCACACACACACACACACACACACACACCCCAAAAAAGTATGCAAGCATTTCTACCCTTCTCAGTTCTCTGGGCCTGCAAATAGCCCCATCCCATCTTGCACCCTCTGTCCCCTGGCGGGCAGCTCCCCCAAGGCCACCCTGCTCCCTCGGGCTCTATGCAGTTGCCCACCTCACCCCAGCTCCCACGCCTGGCCACACTTCTCCTCTGGGACTCACAGCCATTGGCTGAGCCCTGGGCGCAGGGCAGTCTGTGGCTCCTCACAGGGACAGGGTGGCCCTGGCTCTTAGTGCCCCCAACCCCAGCCGCAGTCCTGGGGGCGTTCATTCCCATCAGGGAGGACATACTGTGACATAATGTAGCTTTTTTAAAGTATAGGGGACAAGAATGTGAGATGCCTTAATCTTTCGCTTCTACATCTTGAAAGTCTGCTTGTCTTTCTCCAGTCCCCGCTGCAGTGTAATGGGACGGTGAACCCCAAGCGGTGACTGGCGGCCCGGCGCCCCTTTGGGCTGGCGTGTGGCTATCCTAGCATTACCTCTAGGGTATCACACCGGCTGCCAAGCATATCCTCAGAACCCAGCTGCTGTCCCGAAGTTATGGGGTCCCCAGAGCCCTGTAGGGGCCCCAGCTCAGCCCTGAGGCAAACTAAGGGTTTCTGGTTATCTGTGACACCCCAGGGTGACTGGGTACTGTCCCCGAGTCAGCTGCCCTGGGGTGTCCCAGCCTCCTTGCCTGTTTGCTTGAGAGTGGGGCAGGTCCATTGGGAGCCCCCACGGCTCTGGCCAGGGCTTGGGGACTACAGACTGTGGTGTCATCAAGAAGCGCCCTTGAGGGGGGTGTGTCCTGGCCACTCCTCCCTGGGTCTGCCTCAGGCACAGAGGGATGGATGCTGCCCAGGACCTTAGTATGGAGAACTTGGACTGAAATCATTCTCGGGAAGGGCAGTTTTATAGTTCTTCACAAAGTGTGATGGTTACACTAGTGCAGGGTATGGGGGCTTCGAGGGGGAGGTTGTCACTTGTATTTATTGTGACTCTAAATCTTGGATAATGTAAAAAAAAAATTGTGCTACCAAATGGGAACAGAAGTTGGCCTAAACCACACAGCTGGCATTGTGGCTGTGCACTGTATCTTGAGGTTCAGACTGGAGTTGAGACAATAAAGGAATGGACATGAGTCGCTCTGCTTCTCTTCTGTCCCTGGGCCCTGGCTCCCTGGGATTTGCCCTGCTTTGGGCAGCTTGGAGGGGAGGCAGAGGGCCCTCTGGCTGCCGGGAGCCCCAGGACCAGCCCTCACCCAGGCTCTGTGGCCACAGGGCCACTTACCCTGCGGCAGGCGGGCAGATATTGGTGAGACCTGGTAGGTCACCTTCGTCACACCAGAGTGACACCAATGGTTTCTCTGTGTATAAAACTAGCTTTTTCCCAGGTGCTGGCAGCAGGGTTATATTGCTTTTTGGCTGCCCACCACCCCTTTTCAGTGCTGGGAATTGAACCCAGCACCTTGTCATGCTAGCAAAGTGCTCTACTACTGCATCCTCCAATGGCTTGGGGTCTGATGTCTTCCCTGGGGCCAGCACCACAATACCATCCTGTGCCTGCCCAACACCACCTGCAACAGACCAAGACCCACACTGGGAGGCAGGACGGGCGTGTCTGAGCCCTGCCCTCCGCCTCATAGCCCATCTGTCCCTGGGTGGCGAGGTGCAGGCCCTGCAGCAAGGTGGGACGTCGGCTGTGGCCTCCAAAGCCTGAAGCCTCAGCCTGCAGGCACAGATGCAAGGTGGCCTGGGCCCCACTGCACCTATGCTCGGGTAGGCAGGCTGCAGTGCCATGCCCTGTGCTAGGGACATGACAGCCAGTTGTGTAGGGCTGATTTCAGGAGACCCTTTTTTTTAAAGGATTTTTTTTTTTTTTTTTTTTTTTTTTTTTTTAATTTTTGTAGCTAAAAGCAAAAAGGACCTGTATTCCCAGCTTTGGTCTTTTTATTTTGAGACAGGGTCTCCCTGAGTCTCTCAGGCTGGGCTCAAACTCCAGATCCTCCTGCCTCAGCCTCCTGAGTAGCCGAGATTACAGATGTGAGCCACCACTCCTAACCAACCAATAACAAGAGGGGAAGTGATGCCGAGAGCGAACAACCTGTGCCAGGGTCCAGAGGTGAGATGAAACACGGGAGGCCTAGAACAAAGAGCAGCGTGTGGGTGGGCTTCAGGGAGAAGGGAGAGGATGTGGACTAGTTTCTGGTGGTTTTGATTTTTGAGACAGGGTCTCATGTAGTTGAGGCTGGCCTCCAACTCTATCCTGCCTCATCCTTGAGTGCTGTGAGCACAGGTGTGCACCACACCGCATCCTGCAATGATCCTGCGCACAGTATACACCCTCCGCCCCGCCCTGAGTATGGGTCCAGTCCCCGTTTGCATTGGAGTCAGGGCAGGGTGCCTTTCGCCCGAGGGCTGGGTTCTGGCACAGGGCTGGCGTGGTGACAACCACGCTGGGGACCACGTGGGCTCATGAGCAGGATGACGTGCAGGGAAGTGACAGCTATGGTCACCAAACCCATTATGTCCCTAGGGTCCACAGGGCCCCTTCCTGTGCTCCCCTCCGGCGCCCCCCCACCCGGTCTCCCACTTCTCCCTGTAGGGCCGCCTGGCCTTACCCAAGCCTCTGCCCTTTTAGGGCTCAGCCCAACGTCGCCCCGTCACCTTCCTCCCCAGGACCGAACTTGGGACCCAGCCTTTTCACCTTAGCTCCAGGGCCAGGAACACAGCTGGTGCCCAAGCAGCGCGGAGGTGAGCAGAGCTCACCCTGACTCCGACCGGCTTCCCAGAGCGGGCACTCACCAGGCAGGGCTTGCCCGCTGTCGCTTCAGCATGGTGGGGGCCTAAATCCCACTGTCTTTGGGTGCGTGCCACCTGTGTGAGCTTCGGTTTCCCCATCTGTAAGTGCTCAACATCAGCAGTTCCCACCTGGGCCGGGGCTCGGGTCCAGCTGCTTCCCAGTCCGGCGCCGCCACCGCCCCAGGGACAAGGCCCCTTTGGGTTTGCCCAGGTCGGGGAGCCCGGGAGCTCCGAGTTTGAATCTTCCCTTTGAAACCTGAAGGCAGAACCTCAACCTTTCTTGAAAATGTGACACTATACGCCCACTTTCCTCCGGGAGAGACCCGGGTTTCCCTGCTCTGTAAACGGGTGCACCGCTCAAGCCACGTGGGAGGAAGAGAGAGTTTATTGCAGGTTCCAACCGGAAACCTGGCATCCCCCGCTGGCTAGGGAGGGACGGCCTCCGCGCGTCCACAACTGCTTGCAGCCACCAGGGCTGCGCAGCCACCGCTCATCCTCACAGGCTCAATGCGCGGTGTCCTCTTTTTTCGCCCCTCTGCGCGGGAATCTAGGATGCACCCTTCGCCTTCAGCTCTCGAGAGGAGGAGGAAC